AATTGTAGTTGTCATTGTTGTTTGGCAGGCCTGGGCTGGGTTTCAACCCACCAGCCCTGGTGTATGTGGCTGGCGCCCTAGCTGCTGAGCTACAGGCGCGGAGCCTGGTCCTCCTCTTATGCATGTCTTCCTTGTCTCTTACAATCAGTTGTAAACACCACTGTACTTGGACCAGCCTGTCTGTCTCATTTCTTTATCTTTTTATTCATTCATTCATTCATCCATTTAGAGACAGAATGTCACTCTGTACCCTGGGTAGAGTGCCATGTCATCATAGCTCATAGCAACCTTAAACTCTTGGGCTCAGGCAATGCCCTTGTCTCACCCTCCCAAGTAGCTGGTACTACAGGTACTCACCAGTAAGTCCCTATTAGTTTTTCTACTGGTCTTTAACTCCTGAGCTCAGGTGATCCACCTGCCTCGGGCCTCCCAGAGTGCTAGAATTACAGGCATGAGCCACCGTGCCCACCCCTGTCTTTTATAAGGATACTTGCTATGGCACTTAAGGCTCACCAGATAGTCCAGATTCTCAGCTCAAGAGCCTTAACTTAAGCACACCTGCAAGGACTTTTCCCCCCTGCAGTAGCATTCACAGGTTTCAGGGATTTGAAGTATTTGGGGCCACCAGAGAGTTCACGATATTTCTGAAATCACACAGCTGGTCAGTGACCTAGCTGAGCCTGGAACTTGCCCAGGGCACTCATTCTCCAATCCTCAGAGCTCTGGAAGGACTGCTCAGCCTGGTGGGGTTGGGATCAAAGCCTAAGCCCTGATGTCCATGGGTGTAGCTAGCATCTGCCCCCTGGTCCAGAACATCCCCTCCCATTGGCTGGTCCCTGGCCCAGCACCATCTAGCATCATTCCTGGTGCTGTTTCACCTGCTAACAGTCTGTTTATTTCCCCAGGCCGCAGCTACGATGAGAAGGTGGATGTATTTTCCTTTGGAATTGTCCTATGTGAGGTAGGTCGCAGGGTCAGTGGCAGTGGTGGCAGGACCCAGGGTTCCTCTGCATACCCCATACTCACAGGCTACAGACTGGGGAGCTACAAGGGCCGCAGGCCATGATGCCTCTGGGAACAGGGCTGCCCACAGCAAGGAATGGCCTGACCCCAGTGGGAAAAGGGGGTTGGGCTGGGGCCAGGCCCATTGTGACCTACCCTCAAACTACCTGGATGGCATCCAGATTCCCAGGCTAGGGTGCCCCTGAGATAACTGCTGGGCTTTGTGCTGGACAGATCATTGGGCGGGTGAACGCAGACCCTGACTACCTGCCCCGCACCATGGACTTCGGCCTCAATGTGCGAGGCTTTCTGGACCGCTATTGTCCCCCAAACTGCCCCCCGAGCTTCTTCCCTATTACTGTGCGCTGCTGTGATCTGGACCCTGAGAAAAGGTGAGTGGGGTGGGGCTGCCTTGAGGGTAGGGCTGATCTCCAGGAGAGCTAGACCCACCATTCACCCTGTGTATCACCCAGGCCCTCCTTCGTGCAGCTGGAGCACTGGCTGGAGACCCTCCGCATGCACTTGGCCGGCCATCTGCCACTGGGCCCACAGCTGGAGCAGCTGGAGAGGGGCTTCTGGGAGACCTACCGGCGTGGCGAGAGTGGACTGCCTGCCCACCCTGAGGTCCCTGACTGAGCCCAGCCCACCCAGCTGCCCCTATCCCTACCTCCAGGAAATCTACCCTCACCAGATTCCTCTGCCGGAGGTGGCCAGGTGTGGAGCCCTTAGCTGAGGCAACAGGCAGCCAGAGCCAGGCCCTGATTTGCCTTCTCCTGCCCTGCAGACCTCAGCCCCTGCCCTCCCTCTGCCCAGGCCCCGGAGCTGGCCCAGCCTCACACACCATCCTGTGGCCCTGCTGTACCTCTGTCTTGGCTTCTCCCTGCATGAGCTGGAGGGTCTCATGAGTTGTGCCCCATTCCACATACCACTGCCCCTGGCCATCCTGAACATGCTGCACCCATATGCAGCCCTTCGGGGCTGGGCTGGGAGGCAGCCCCTGAACTGTGCCCTGTAACAGCTGGGTGCATGGGAGAGCGTATGCCCTGGGCAAGGCAAAGTTCCCAGGAGTCTGCATTCCCAGGAGCCAAATGGCGAGTCTGGGGCCCACTATCCCCCAAGGATGTCTAGGGAGCAGCGGCCATTAATAATTATCCAGTCCCCCAAAGCAGAGAGACGTCTGATTCTAGGCATGGAAGGGCTGAGCAGCAGCCCTGCCTCTCACTTTGGGTCTTTTTCCTTTCTTTATCAAAGCCACTTTAGTAAGAAACAGGTACTAGGCCTCAGGGTAAGGAGGGGTCCCTTGGAAGGAAGGGAGCCACAGTGCCTGAGCCAGGCAGGGGGCAGCTGGGCCGAGGGCACATGGCAAGTGTCCACCAGCAGCCCAGCTCCGAGGTCATCTCAGTACCCCTTCCCAGCCTCTCCCTGAGGCTCCCTGCCCTTCCTCACGCTCCCTCCCTTGTCCTCTGGGTTCTTTCTGTGTAATCTATTTTTTAAGAAGAGTTTGTATTATTTTTTCATACGGCTGCAGCAGCAGTTGCTGGGGGCTTGGGGTTTTATTTTTTTGGCGGGTGGTGCGGGAGGGCCATTCTGTCACTTTGCCTCAGTTGAGCATCTAGGAAGTATTAAAACTGTGAAGCTTTCTCAGTGCACTTTGAACCTGGAAAACAATGTAAACAGGCCTATAGGACTATGACTTAAGGAGTGGGACACACTCACCCCATCTAGGAATCATGACATCCAAGGAACAAAACACAGACTCAGAACAATAAAATAAATTCCGTACTCCCCACCCTGGTCCTGTGTGGCAGTATGTGTCTGAGGGTCCCAAGGAAATAGTGGAGACGAGAGAATATTTAAAAGCCTGGTAGGGGCTTGGCACCAGTAGCTCAAGCAGCTAAGGCACCAGCCACATACACCAGAACTGGTGGGTTCAAATCCAGCCCAGGCCCGCCAAACAACAATGACAACTACAATAAAAAAATAGCTGGGTGTTGTGGCAGGCACCTCTAGTCCCAGCTACTTGGGAGGCTGAGGCAAGAGAATTACTTAAGCCCAGGAGTTGGGGGTTTCTATGAGCTGTAATGCCATAGCACTCTACCCAGGGCAACAGCTTGAGGCTCTGTCTCAAAAAAAAAAATTTTTTTAAAAGCCTGATAGGAAGACAAGAGTACAGGGGTGATGGGGCCATCAGAGGATGTCAAGGGCAGAAAGTACCTGCAGCCCAGGTTTATAGGATAGCAGAGGTCGTGGCCCAACCAGGACAAGTAAAAGTTTTCCAAAGGCTGGGTTTGGGGAGGTGGGGGGTACACTTAAGTGCTTTTTCACACTTAATGATGTCTTCTAAAACTCAAGGGTCCTATCAGGAAGACAGAAACCATACTAGTTACTTCAAATGTAGGGCATTTAATACATGGAAACCTTCACACAGTTACTTTAAATGTAGAGCATTTATGAGAGGCCAAAGTGGGTGGATTGCCTGAGCTCACAAGTTCAAGACCAGCCTGAGCCAGAGCAAGACCTCGTCTCTAAAAATAGCCAGGCATAGGCTGGGTGCTGTGGCTCATGCCTGTAATTCCAGCACTTGGGAGACTGAGGCAGGTGGATTGCCTGAGTTCACAGGTTTGAGACCATCCTGAGCCAGAGTGAGATCCCCATCTCTAAAAAAAAAATATAGCTGGGCGTTGTGGCAGGTGCCTGTAGCCCCAGCTACTTGGGAGGCTGAAGCAAGAGGATCACCTGAACACAGGAGTTTTGAGATGCTGTGAGCTAAGATGCCACGGCAGTCTACCAAGGGTGACCAAGTGAGACTCTGTCTTAAAATATAAATAAAAATAATATAAAAATATAACAATATAAATAGTATTATAATAAAATAATATAAAAATAAAAATAGCTGGGTGTTGTGGCAGGCACCTTGGGACCCAGCAACTTGGGACTACAAGAGAATCGCTTGAGCCCAAGATTTTGAGATTGCTGTGAGCTGTGACACCATGGCATTCTACCGTGGAGCAACAAAGTGAGATTCTGTCTCAGAAGAAAAGAAAGTAAAGCATTTAATACGGGGAATTGTTCACACAGGGAACTGAAAGACACTGGAAGGCAAAAAGTTGATCCATAGGTGTTATGGCTCACACCTATAATCCCAGCACTCTGAGAGACAGAGGCAAGTGCTCACAGGTTCAAGACCAGCCTGAGCCAGAGTAAGACCCTGTCCCTAAAACAGCCAGGCATTGTGGCTACTCAGGAGGCTGAGGCAAGGGAATTGCTTAAGCCGGAGAGTTTGAGGTTGCTGTGAGCTGTAACACCACACCACTCTACCAAGGGCAACAAAATGTGACTCTGTCTCAATAAATAAATAGCCAGGCATTGTGGCGGGTACCTGTAGTCCCGTCCCAGCTACTTGGGAGACTGAGGCAAGAAGATCTCTTGAGCCCTGCAGGGCGGGGCCCGAGGAGATAGTTTTCCCACAAAAACCTAGCCACAAAATGTACACAGCTGTTCGGAAGAAGGAGAGAAGAAAGAAACGTTGGCAGGAACTTGCTCAATTGAGAGACTCAGGACTCTCACAGGAGGAGAAGGAAGATGCTGTTATTGAAGAACAACTAGAAGAAGAGAAATTGTTGGAGAGAGAGGCAAAAATTGTATGAAGAGTGGTTGCTGAGGGAGCAGAAGGCACAAGAAGAATTCAGGATAAAAAAGGAAAAGGAAGAGGCAGCTAGGAAACGTCAGGAAGAGCAAGAGAGAAAGTTAAAGGAAGAATGGGAAGAACAGCAGAGAAGAGAGAAGAGGAGCAGTAAAAACTACAGGAGAAGAGAGAAAGAGTGATTCCTGCCATGGGAGGATAGACAGAGGGCATATCCTCTGAGTGCACAGATGTGCTGTATGGTGGGATTGAAGAATAAGCTGTACTCATGTCAGGGTTTGGCTTTGTTTTCTGTTTTGCCTGGTTCTTCATTTGTTCGAAAGAATCAGATTCTCAGTCTAGATATTCACCGGAGTTGCCTTATGATGCTCTTTAGGTCTGTGCAATAGCACATGCCCTAAAATTAAGGTTTCCTTCAACTTTACCTGATTTACCCTTTATACCAGAGATTGGCAAACTTTGTCTACAAAGGGCCGGATATTTTTGTGCTTTGTCATTTGTGTGGTCTCTGTAGAAAAACCTGTCTCTGGCTCGGCGCCTATGGCTCAAGTGGCTAAGGCGCCAGCCACATACACCTAAGGTGGTGGGTTCAAATCCAGCCCAGGCCACCAAACAATGATGGCTGCAACCAAAAAATAGCTAGGTGTTGTGGCAGGCGCCTGTGGTCCCAGCTACTTGGGAGGCTGAAGCAGGAGACTCGCTTGAGCCCAGGAGTTGGAGGTTGCTGTGAGCTGATGCCACAGCACTCTACCCAGGGAGACAGCTTGAGGCTCTGTCTCAAAAAAAAAAAACCTGTCTCTGACAGTGTGCCCTGAAAGCAGCTATAGATGATATGTAAATAAATGGGGGTGGCTATGTACCAATAAAGCTTTATTTACAAAACAGGGGGAAAAAAAGATCTCTTGAGCCCAAGAATTTGAGGTTGCTGTGAACTATGACAGCACAGCACTCTACCCAGGGTAACAAAATGTGACTGTGTCTCAAAAAAAAAAAAAAAATGGGTCCTGAAGCAACCCAGAGATGACTGACAGCAGGAAATAGCTACACCCCTTGGGGCCAGGGCCTTTAAGGAGAGAGGTGGTCACTTGAGTTAATCAATGTGTAAAAAACCCCTCCTAAACTCGGTGGCTTAATCCGTGATCACTCATTGCTCATAATTTCTGTTTTTCAAGATCTTGGTAGCCACATGGGCGTGTGATTTGGGTGTGGGGTCTTTCAGTCCTTTGAGGGTGTGATTAGGGATTAGGTTCCCTTACAAGGACCCTTTTATGTGGCTCACTCATGCTGCACCCAAGTTGATGCTGGCTCTGGGCAGGGGTCGTTGGTATACTGCATGGTCCTCTCCACTGCAGGGACATATCCAAGCAGCCTTCAAAATGAGCACTTCCCAAGAGCAAATCAAAGTGCCACTGCCTTTTTTTTCTCTCTGAGACAAAATCTCACTTTGTCATCCTCGGTGAGTGCCCTAGCATCATAGCTCACAGTAATCTTAAACTCTTGAACTCAAATGATCCTCTTGTCTCAGCCTCCCAAGTAGCTGTGACTGTAGGTGCCTGTTATAGCACCCAGCTATTTTTAGAGCTGGGGTTGTGAGCTTAGGCAGTCCACCTGCCTCAGCCTCCAACAAATGTTAGGATTACAGGTGTGAGCCATTGCGCCCAGCCTAGTGCCACTGCCTTTTATGGCCTGGCCTCAAAAGTCACACCACATCGAATTCCACTGATCACAACCAACCCTGATTCAGTGGGGGAGAGGACCACACAAGGCCGTGAATACCAAGACCAGGATGCATTGGTGGTGGTTGTCAGTGTACTTAACTAGGAACTTGGAGGTTTGGAGGGGGCTGCACTATAGAACCCATGCTGGGATTCTCGATGTGTGCAGTTCGGTGGGAAACTTTATTTTTTTCTTTTTAGAGACAGACTCTCATTCTGTCTCCCCAGGATAGAGTACTATGATGTCAGCCTAGTTTATAGTAACCTTAAACTCCTGGGTTCAGAAGATCCTCCTGCCTCAGCCTCCCAGGTAGTTGGGACTACATGCACCCACCACAAAATGCCCAGCTAATTTTGCTAATTTTTTTAGTAAAAATGGGGGTCTTGCGGCCGGGTGTGGTAGCTCACTCCTGTAATCCTAACACTCTGGGAGGATGAGCTAGGTGGATTGCTTGAGCTCACAAGTTCGAGACCAGCCTGAGCAAAAAGCAAGACCCTATCTCTACTAAATACAGAAAAACTGAGGCTAGAGGATCGCATAAGTCTGAGAGTTAGAGGTTGCTGTGAACTATGACACCACCATGACACTCTACTCAGGGCAACAGTTTGAGACTCTGTCTCAAAAAAAGAAGAGAAATGATGTCTTGCTTTTGCTCAGGCTGGTCTCCAACTGCTGAGGTCAAGCAATTCCCCTTCGGCCTCCTAGAGTGCTACAGGCGCCCACCACAACACCTGGCTTTTTTTTTTTTTT